GCAACACATATCTCACCATTTCCGTATCAAAGTGTTTTGAGCACTTCGTTTTATAATATGTTGTAAATTCTTTCCTACATTAAGTTCGTCGTTAGGGTAGGAGCTTTCCAGTAAAGCTTTGAGAAAGCTTTAGAAACTTTAGCTTGGGTTAAAGTCCCACACAGATTGGGTCTGGCTTTCGATGCTTCCTCAAGTTTTACATTCCCTGCGGCAAGTCTAGGCCACCATTCGTAAAATCCTATGTTTCTTCGTACATAGATTGACTATACTAAATATAGCAGATACTACTGTCGACATGAGTTTTTTACATTGTCTACGAGAGTAAATGGTAACGGTAATTTGTGCACAATTAACCCCAAAATAAATTTGTTCCTCGAAAACAAACACAAAATCCACTTGTTTAACCAACGCATGTTATATTCTAGTAATATTAATGCGATAAGATTTAAATTTATATCTAAACAATAATATAGTGGTAGGCGGCTAATCTTTCTTTGTTATCAAATATGTCTAGGTTAGCACATCTTTTTAAACAAACTCCTCTTAATGAGAAGGCAAATTTGATGATAAACTAAAATAAATGCCGATTTAAGTATTATTCTTTTAGTAGTGAGGCAGTCGAAGCTCTCAGCGTGTCGTAGCCAGAAGGAGCCACGGCCAAAAAAGTAAAATTCGTTAGTGGTGGTGCAGAATAAGAATGGTGACTATTTTTATATGCTTTAACAACAAAGTTTCTATAAAAAAATAAAGAAGCTAAATTTTATGTGCTAATAAAAATTTTTTGTTTGAAAACGTTGTGCAAATTATTTTAGGTCAGAACCGTTCAAGAAGAGAAGCTACATAAATATATATATATGTACATAAATACAAAAGTTATGCTAGCCTATAAGACCTTATCGAGCGTATTGTGTGAAATGCAAAAGACCGGCGTCCCATTTGAAATAAGTTTTCTTAATTATTGAGCAAATTTAAAAAAAAAAGTTATTTTTGATCCTTTTTAAAGACAATATTAAATTATATTTTTTTTTTCAATAACTGAAATACATAATGGAGGTAGTCATTTCCTGATACCAAATGAAACAAAATTAGCCAGAGTTAAAAAGTTTAATTTTATAAATTGTTATTAGTTGTTAGTATATTCTAATCACAAATGTAGCTAAAATCTAGTTCTTGAGAAAAACGTTATATGGGAGGTAGTCATGTCCTTGCACCGATATTGCCGAAAGTTCGGATTATTCTTAATTCATTTTCATTTTCTAATTTCATTGTTCTCCGATAACTCCCCTAAATTGCATTTCCAAACTAATTTGGGAATAATCGAAAGGCCGGTCAATGCATTGAGCGAAGCTTGGCTGTCACTACTACAGACACGTAAATTCTTACTTCTACAAGTAAGTAAGTAGTCTTTAGCATGTGGGAATTGTGAATAGCGCGGCTTGGAAAGCATGTTCGTGAGAGCAGAGAAGATTTAACTTGTTTGCTCCCATATGGACTCCAGATCCTGACCCTGGGTTAGTTTTGTATTAGTAGTGTTATTTGTTAGTATTGAAATTAGACCATCACTAATCTGTAGGGAACTCAATATGTATATAAGTATCTTATGGCATTGAAAAGGCCTTCAAGTCAACATCTCTGCTTTTAGCAATTTCCGGCTTACTCCGCACTGTATCATACCAGCATCCATTTCGTTTGGGTCCGCAAGTAGCCTTGAGACCTTTCCGCCGATAAAGGCATTTAGTGAAGATAAGTTAAGCAGTATATCAAAAATAGCCTTAAGTTATACCGCCAAAGGTCCGGTACAGCACATGGCGATGGATTTTAGAAGCTTAGTGAATTTAAATTCCTATGGTTTTGACTGAGATTCTGTTTCACTACAACTCAGACGTTAAGCTAATGCCTACCGATTCTTGTATTCCAGTGGTTCTCTGCGTGAGCATTAAATGCATCTAACTAACCAGCAGAGAGTCTACTCCATGCCAAAAGATCATGTTCCATATCTAAGATAATTTGCAAGAGCCGTAATACTTCAATATTTTATTCTAGGCGCTTCCACAATAAGCCTTTATTATTAACCCATACATATGATCAAACCTTTTAGGGTTCAAAAATTTTAATTTGCCTTCTGGCATTGGCTGCGCTAGCGGCTCAAGCACCTTCTGTTAGTGGCGCCAAAATACTTGCAGTCTACATATATGCGGGAAGAAGTCACTATCAGATGCATCGACCTATGATTAGCGAGTTGGTGAAACATGGCCATCAGGTATATGCACACGTTTTAACTTTCATTTTATTACATGGAGTTAAAAGTATTTATGGTTAATTCACCATTAGGTCACCATGATCACCGGACTAACACTAGAGCCACTCAAACTGGGCAGCAACTACACTGAGATACTCATTGAGCCGGAATACGATATCTGGAAGATTGGTGAGTTTTTATGTCCTATCCAAACTAGACCGACTACGGAACATTTATTTCTCGCTTGTTGTAGTTAGTGAAATAACTGGATCAAAATCGAACGTAGAACTTGAAACTAGATTATCACTGTTTTTTAAAGTAATGAAGTCTATAGCGGTTGAGACTAGCGAACATGCGCTAAAACAACCGAAAGTGCAGGCTATTATTAATGCCAAACAAACTGAGGGTGTCTTCGATTTGCTGTTAGTGGAACAGTTACAACAAGAAGTTTTTCTTGCCTTGGCTCACGTCTATAAAGTCCCCGTTGTTAGCTCAGTTACATTTGCGAAGACAACCTACATGAGTCAGATGTTCGGCGTAATATCTCCTTGGTCATACGTGCCCATGGGACTCCTTCAATTCACAGAGCGTATGAGCTTTTGGGAACGCGCTGAAAATGCCCTTGATGCACTTCGCGTCGATTTGGATCGGGAATTTGATTATTTTCCAGTACTTGATAAACTTGTGGAGAAATACTTTGGACATTTACCAAGTTAGTATTAGACGTACATGGAATTTTCGAAAATTCAGATTTGACGGCTCTGCATTCTCTTCACTATTTCTTTATTCTTACTTGCTCTCAGTTAAGTTCCCCAGTACTTCTGCTATGGAAAAGAATCTATCTGCTATGTTCGTCAATAACTACACGCCCTTAGCGGCAGCTGCTCCAACAATGGATAACATGGTTAACATCGGCGGCATACATAT